GCACTCAAAATTCAAAGAAAGATAAGTTCCCCCCCGCCCCCCAAAAACCCTTTTCCTTATTTAAAATAACCACCCCCCCCAACCCCCACCAAACCAACCCCCCCGGGGAAAACCCCTAAGGGAAGTTCCCCCCAAACCGTAAACCCCCTTCCCCCCTGGAAACCAAACCCCACCCAAAAACCCAAAAACTTTCCTCAAACCCCGGCCCCCAATTAAAATTTTTTACGAAGCCCAAGTTTTTTAAAGGCAACCTTGGTTTTTTTTCCCCTTTCCCCCTTGTAGAAAAAGGCCTTTTTTTCCTTTAAACCCGCTAAGGTTACCAAAACATGGCGAAGGTAAAAAGAGACATTTCCCAAACCCCCTATAAAAGGAACTTTCACATGCAAGCCCCGTGGCATATGGGTGGGTGTTTTAAAAATGGGCCATTTCTAAATGGGTAGGTGGACACAAAAAAAAAGTTATCACAGGTTGGGTAGGGCCCCAAAAACCCGGTTTGGGCCCCGGGGCAAGGACAGACAAAGTTATCTGCCTGAAAAAAAATTTTCCCCCTCTAAATCGACAGGGGTGGGACCACCCCTACTAGTATTTAAGGGGAAAGGGGGACCTTTTTTGCTGAACACTTTGCTACCAAAAATGAAGTTCCTGATCCAGCAAGGGGGCCCTCCTTGGGTAGCTGCAAGAAAATGTTCAAAACCAATGGGGACAATAAGGCAGGGGAGGTGCATTTCCTACTTTAAAAAACTTGACCAAGGAAAAAAGGGTGGGGCCCAGACAAGTTTACCCCAAAATTTTTGAAAGATGGGGCCAAAACCAAACAGCCACACCTCTAACTCGCATCTTTCGCACTGCCTAGAAAAGTGTTTAAAAGGCCCCCTCTATTTGGAAAAAAGGCGAATGTAGTCCCTGTTAACAAAAAAAGACAGAGCAGAAATCAGCAACTACAGACCAGTGTCACTCCGTCAACCCGGAAGACCTTGAGAAAATAATTAAGACAAATGACAGATTTTTTTGATACCACTCACTACTTTGTGAGTTAATTGGCTTCAGGAAATTACTCTTTCTGCTGATTGTTGTTAACCTCTCCACAAGTGGCCCAGTCACTGGATGAAACCAAAAATCAGCGTGTGGTAGCCGGACATTGTGGGGCTTTGACCGGGTGTGGCACCAGGGCCCTTACAAAAACTTCAAGCATGGGAAATTTCAGGGGTCTAAATATGTTCCTCAGTAAAATACCTTATGGAGAAAACCTAAGTGTAGTTTTCAAAGGAACGGGAACAGCAAGCACCTATTGGGGCAGTGTTCCACAAGGAACGGCTGGGTCCCTTTTTATGAATGTCTACTTCAAAAGACCTTTTTCATCTACCCCCGAATCCTGCATATGCAGAGACGTACATGGGAAATTCATTATCCAAAAAGAAAAAATCCCGCTGCTCTAAAACTACATCAATCACAAGCGAGAGCTATATCAGCTTGGGGGAAATAGAGGCAAGTAAAATTTTCACCTGAGAAAAGCAAAAATGATCGTCTTAGGCACCCTTGGGTAATGGGTGCGAGTAGGATGAATGGGAGGATGTTGGCCTGGAGAAAATTGTATCCTTGGGGTGAAAATTTTACCCAAACAACCTGAAGAAACCTGTTGTAAATCTTGCAAACAAGGCCCAGGAAACTTACAGCACTTCGCCGATCTCCCATCTGCTTGAAGTAGGGGTTTTCAAGATCCTGTACGAGGCACAAGTCGCTCCACCTTGGGATCTCCACTTTTTTGGTTTGCCCCCCCCCCCCTATCTGCGACTGCTTGCAGAGTAGAGAACAGAGCAAGACGTCTCACTCTCGCTGGACCCTCCCGGATAGATCTTTTCATTTCAGCGAGCCCTTTAAATAGGAGGGATTTGGGGGG